ATCACATTAACAGGCGTTTGGAAGAAGTTGATGTCAACTGTCATGGATGATTTTGAGGAGTTCAAGACTTCAGTGGAAGAAGTAACTGGAGATGTGGTGGAAACGGCAAGAGAACTAGAATTAGAAAAAGCTTGTAGATATGACCAAATTGCTGCAATCTCATGATAAAGCTTGAATGAATGAGGAGTTGCTTCTTACAAATGGGCAAAGTATTTTCTTGAGATAGAATCTACTCTTGGTGAAGACACTGCATATTGTTGAAAGGTCAACAAAGAATTTAGAATATTACATATACTTGCTTGATAAAGCAACAGCAGGGTTTGAGAGGATTGACTCCAATTTTGAAAGAAGTTCTGTTGGTAAAAATGCTACCACACAGCATCACGTACTGCAGAGAAATCTTTTGTGAAAGGAAGAATCTATTGATGTAGAAAACTTCATTGTGTTTTATTTTAAGAAATTGCCACAGTCACCCCAAACTTCAGCAACCACCACCCTGATCAGTTAGCAGCCATCAACACTGAGGCAAGACCCTCCATAGCAAAAGGATTACAACTCAGTAAACGCTCAGATGCTGGGTAGCATTTTTTAGAAATAAAGTCTTTTCCCTTATTTTTTAACGAAGGTATGTACACTGCTTTTTTAGACATAATACTTGCATACTTAATAGACTACAATATCATGTAAACATAACTTTTATATGCACCCAGAAACCAAAAAATTGTGTAACTCACTTTATCACCATATTTGTTTTATTGTGGTGACCTAGAGCTGGACTGGTAGTATCTCCAGCAGATGTCTATTTATAAAATATTTTACTGATCACCACCGGAGACAGCTATAGTAGAAACTAATTATTTTGAAAACTGCCAACACAGAAGAGTAAGCATTTATCTCAATTTTCCTGTATGAACCACATTTCAAGGTAACCCAATAGCTGTAATTTACAAGGGAAAGGATTTTATAAATTATTATTTACAGAAGAATCCCAGATAATAAATCTAAAAAGAATGACATAATTAGAAAGTAGCCATTTAGCAACTACTAGTGAAATAATTGATTCTGACAACAAACCACAAGTTCCGAAACCATTAAATGGCAGTTTGATGGAGTTATGGAAATTTACAGCATGTTAAAATAAAAGCCATGGTTTATTTTACAGTTCTAAAGGTGGGAAATTCTACTTGCTAATGAAAAGATCAAGCTGTCACCTGAACCCAGTGACCAATTTTAGAATCAATCAAAATAGGACATTAAGTGGTTCTTGATGTCACACAATATGAGTTCACAGAACTTACTTTTGCCAAAAATTGACCCTGAATTTCATTAAATAAATTAAGGTGATAAGTTAGCTTTTAGTACTAACTTCTAATTTAGGTGCAAGATGGGGGGAAAAGAGCTGGCTAAATGACACTGTCTTCGTGAGGAGGTAATCAGACAAACCTAGAATGCGGAACAATCTATGGGACAATTATATCAGTTTTTTTCAGTAAGTCAATGGCAAGGGAAAAGAAGATGGGCGAGGGGCTTGCTACAGATGTAAGAAGACGAGGGGGTGTGACAACTGAATGTAACATGTGAGTCTCATTCGGATCTCGACTTGGAAAAAATCATGTTAAAAAGATGCCTATTAAACAGTCAGTGAACTTTGAATATGAACTAGGAATTAGATGATATTAATGAATTATTGTATTGAATTTAGGTGTGATAGAGGTAACTGGTTATATTTTCCTCTTTTAGGGACACATTGAAATATTAGGTGGGAAATGCCATTTTGCCTGGGACTTGCTTTAAAATTCTTCAACAAAAAAAGGGGCAAATAGGTGATTCAAGTGGGCAAAATGTTGATTATTTTTAAGTTGGATGCCTGCTGCTATGGATTGGATATGACTTGTATGTCTCCCATCAATATTATTTTGAAATTTGATCCTCAGGTGATGTTGGGATGCGGGGTGTAGTGGGAGGAGTTTGGGTTATGGAGTCGAGCCCTTATGAATGGTTTGGTACTGTTCCCGGGGTAGTGAGTAAGTTCTCGTGCTGTCCTGAGACTGAATTGGCTTTGAGGGGATGGATTCGTTCCCAAGGGAGAGGGTTGTTCTAAAGCCAGGAGGTTCCTCAGGTTTGATCCCTTTTTGCACCTGCCTGCCTGCCATGTGACCTTCTGCACCATCTTTTGATGCAGCACAAAAGCCCTCACCAGAAGCAGAGCAGATGCCAGCACCATGCTTCTTGCACAGCCTGCAGAACACGATCTAACCGAACCTCTTTCTTTACAAATCACCAAGCCACAGGTACGCCTTCATAGCAACACAAAACAGACTAAGATAGAAGGAATGTGGGGTTTTATCACACTTCTTTCTCCATTTATGTGAATGAGAAACAAATGGTTTTTAAAGAAAATGTAAACATTTATGTGAGGTTAAAAAAAGAAGTGCTGCTCCTATGATGATGAATTTTGGTTTAATTTACCTGATGTGAAGAGATGAAAAAAAAGAAAAGATGAAGACTCCCTTTGCTTCTCCTCTACATTTTTAGCAGTCTTTGGAGACTACAATTGCTAGGAAAGAAATTGCACTGAATCAAAGGCATTTCCTTCTCAAGCTCTAATATGTTACCTCTTACATAGTTCCTTCCTCAAAGAAACAAACATAGGATAACAGAAGAGAATAGCCTTTTGTGTGGTTTTTTAGACATTGGCTCTCCTTGTCCCCTGAGGTTTTCTTCTTTCTGAGTGCACATCCCAGACGGCTGTGCTTTGAAGTCCCACACGTGCCCCAGCCCTGATCCTCTCCTAGAAACTCCTCTGAGGGGGCATCTCTGGTCTCCCAGCCGGGGTGGCCAACTCTCCTCACTGTCCCTTAGTTTCCTTGCATACTCTCCCCGTAGCACTTAACCTGTGATATGAAATGCGTTTGTGTCTCTTCCCTAGACCATAAGCTCCCTTAGGGAAGGGACTCAGCCTTTTAAACATTTCTTTCCAGCGTCTAACACCTTCTGGCAAATAGCAGACTCTCAGCATCTGCCAAACACACGCATGCCCTGGTGTTATCTCCTGCAAGCCTTGGTAACCTTAACAAGGTTTCCACTATGAAAAAAAAAAAATCTCTGTTCTTAATTTCCTTTACTAAGTATTAAGCTTTAGATATTTCTGTCTAGCAAAAAGCCTGTACTTCTGAACGAATAATTAATTCCTCCACCAGTTTTGTTTATTAAAAGACAGTACTTGTCTCTCGGGGTTTCTAAAGCTCCCCACCCAGCCAAGGGTTTTTTCCCCTGACGTGTGCCAAGGAAATTCCTAGTTAAGAATAGGCTTGTGATCATCTGGCCTAGGATCTAGAAAATTTACAAGTCATAGGAGTTTTAATTTATGTGATTCTGGAAAGTGAACTAGTAGCATAATTTGTATGTATGTCCATTTTCCTGAAGTATTTTAAAAAACATCTTTCTTGAGATATGCCACATACCATAAAATTTAATTATTTAACATATACAATTCAATGTTTTAACATCTATTAATATATTTGTGCAAACATCTCTATAATCCAACTTTAGAATATTTTCATCACCACTCCTCCTCCAAAAACCCAACAGCCATCACTGCCCATTCTCTCTCCCCTCCTTGGTCCTAGGCACCCATGAATGTACTTTCTGTCTCCATAGATTTGCCTACTCTAGACATTTCCTATAAATAAAATCATGCAATATGTGATCTTTTATGACTTTTTAATTTAGTATTTAAAAGGATCACCCACACTGTAGCCTGCATCACTACTTCCTTCTTTCTTCTGTTGCCAAATCCTATTTCATTGTATAGATAGATCTCATTTTGTTGATTCATTTATCAAATGATGAACATTTGGGTTGTTTCAAATATTTGGCCATTTTGAATGATGCTGCCATGAAAATGGATGTATAAATTTTTGTGTGGACTTAAATTTCCATCTCTCTTGGACATATATGGTTAAGAGTAGAATTTCTGGCTCCTGTGGTACCACCATGCTTAACCTGATGAGAAGCTGTCAAACTTCTTTCCACGGTGGTTGCATCATTTACACACCCACCAACAATATATGAGGATTCCATTTTCTCCACATCCTCACCACTTGCTGTTGTTCCTTTTTTTATTACTATAGCTATCCTAGTGAATATAGTTTTGATTTGCATTTCCCTAATGATGAAAACATGTTGAGCATCTTTTCATGTGTTCATTGGCCATTTATATATCTTCTTTGGAGAAATATCTATTCAAATGCTTTTGCCCTTTTAAAATTGTGTTATTTATCTTTTCATTGTTAAGTTATAAGAGTTCTTTATATATTCTGGATTAAAATCTCTTATCTGATATATGATTGTCATAATTAACAAATCATTGATTAGCCCAAGTTCACAAAGATTTAATCTTGTCTTAGTCTATTTTCTGCTGTTATAACAGAATATCACAGACCAGGTAATTTATACACGAAAGAGGTTTATTTGGCTCACAGTTTTGAAGGCTATTAAGTCCAAAGGCATGGTGTAGCATCTGCTTAGCCAGCTGGTGAGGACCTTCCTATTGCATCATATCATGGTGGAAAGCAGAAAGGCAGGTGAACACATGAAACAGGGAGAAGATGGAGGTCAAACTTGTCCTGGAGTCCACTCCTTCAGTAACTAACCCACTGCTCTGATAACAGCATTAATCCATTCACTAGGGCAGAACACTCATGATCTAATTACCTCTTAAAGGTCTTACCTTGGCCGAGTGCAGTGGCTCACACCTGTAATCCCAGTACTTTGGGAGTCTGAGGTGGGTGGATCATGAAATCAAGAGACTGAGGCCATCCTGGCCAACATGGTGAAACCCCATCTCTACTAAAAATACAAAAATTAGCTGGGTGTGGTTGGCACACACCAGTAGTCCCAGCTACTTGGGAGGCTGAGGCAGGAGAAACACTTGAACCCAGGGGGCAGAGGTTGTTCTTTGGGTGGGCTGAGATCACACCACTGCACTTCAGCCTGGCAGCAAAGCAAGACTCTGTCTGAAAAAAAAAAAAAAAAAAAAAAAAAAAAACAATGGTCTTACCTCTTAATACCACCTCAATGGCATTCACCATGAGTTTTGGAGGAACATTCAAACCATAGCAAATCTTAAGTTTTCTTTTAAGAGTTCTGTAATTTTAGCTCTTTCATTTCAATTGTCAGGGAAACTAAAGATTACCTGTCCCTGTGTAAGTTCTTAGTTGAAAGGAGCCCCTGTAACAAAGTAGATTAACAAGAGAAAAACAAACAAGGATATTAACATGTACAGTGAACACCATGCAGGAGAAACCTCAATGAAAAGTAACGAAAGCAGTTGCTTAGAACTCTGGTTTATATAGCATCTTCAACCAAAAAAAACAATAAATTTAGAGAGAAATGACAGGACAAAGAAAGGCAGTTTACTTCCGGGGTAGGAAACAGTGGGAAAATAAATATATGGGAGTAAACTAATGAAGTCACGTTTGTTTGTGATTCCTCTGGTGCCTTCTCTGGGCCAAGAAAGAGTCTAGAGCTGTCTCCCGTAAAGGACAACTTATATCCTAGCTTTAGGCAGAAAAGGGAAGGACAGGGAGCGCTTTTTCCACTTGCTGCTTCTTAGTTGCTTTCAGTCCCAAAATAATTGATAATTGTTTTAACGTAGTGTGAAATAATAGTTCAAGTGAATTCTTTTCATGTAGAGATCCAGTTGTCCCAGCAGCATGTTTGGAATGTTTTGAAAGGCTTCTTTTCCCCATTGGAATTATTGGCAATCTTATCTAAAATAAATTTATATACATATATATTTAAATACATATATACATACACATATATGTGTATGCGTGTGTACGCAGGTTTTTTAAAAAAAAATTTTATTGGAGTATGACTGACCTACAAAAATCTGTACATACTTAATATATGCAACTTGATAAGTTTGAAGCTAAATATACATCTGTGAAATCAGTATCACATCTAAACATATTCATCATCTATCTCCAAAAAGTTTCCTCCCACCCTCTATATTTATAATTATTTGTGCATGTGTGTGTGCATGTGTGTGTATATGTACAATGTGATAAAACATAATATCTACTCCCTTAGCAAATCTTTAAGTATATACTGCAGTGTTATAACTATAGGTATTATGCTGTACATTTGCTCTCTAGGACTTAATTGTCTTTTATAACTGAAACTTTGTAACTTTTGGCTAATATCTCCTTATATCCCCTTCTCCCCATCTCCTGACAGCCACCATTCCACTCTCTTCTTCTACAGGTTTAGCTATTTTAGATTCCTTATATAAGTGGCATCAAATAGTACTTGTCTTTCTGTGTCTAGCTTATTTCACTTAGCATAAAGTCCTCTAGGTTTATGCGTGTTGTCATAAATGTCAGGATTTCCGTCTTTCTTAAGGCTAAATGATATTCCACTGTATACACACAACATATTTTCTTTACCCATTTATCAATGATGAATATTTAGGTTAATTTATTATCTTGGTTATTGTGAATAATGCTGCAATGAATGGGAGTACCAATGCTCTTTGAAATTCCAATTTCAATTTCTTTGGATATACACCCAGTAGTGGGATTGCTGGATCATATGGTAGTTCTATTTTTAATTTTCTAGAATACCCTACATACTGTCTTGCATATATAGGCTGGCTGACTGTTTTCCATTGATCTATGTGTCTATCATTACATCAGTACCATGCTGTTTTGACTACTGTAACTTTGTAGTAAGTTTTGAAGTAAATGTGAGTCCTCTAACTTTGTCCTTCTTTTAAAGGATTATTTGGATTATTCTGGGTATCTTGCATTTCCATACTACTTTTAAAATGTGTATATTTTGTTCTTCTGAAATTCTTTCATTTATGTGCTATTTCTAGTTATATCACCCAAGTTAGTTTATTTTTTTTTTCACTCATAATTTCCTAGTCTTCATTTCTTTCTCTTTAAGATTTAAAAAAATCTTTCACACTTTGGGAAGCTGAGGCAGGTGGATCACGAGGTCAAGAGATTGAGACCATCCTGGCCAATATAGAGAAACCTTGTCTTTACTAAAAATACAAAAATTAGCTGGGCTTGGTGGTATGCACCTGTAGTCCCAGCTACTTGGGAGTTTGAGGCAAGAGAGTTGCTTGAACCTGAGAGAAGGAGGTTGCAGTGAGCCGAGATCACACCGCACTGCACTCCAGCCTAGTAACAAAGCTAGACTCTGTCTCAAAAAAAAAAAAAAAAAAACTTTCAGACAACAAATTTGGGTTCCAAAGTGATTTGTTTGTCTTTTAATATTTTAGCTAAAAGCATTTCAAATTTGTGTGGTATATATGTATATTTTGTGACTAAATATTCTTACATCCTCTTATTACAATTTCATTTAATAAGACCTTTACCGAAAAATAGTTAACATAACATAAAATTCACCCTGTTAAAGTGTAAAATTCAGCGTTTTTTCATAAATTCACTGAGTTTTTGAACCATCTAATTCTAGACTAATTTCAGAACATTTCATAATCCTACAAAGAAAATCTTGCCGTCTTAGTTTTTGATAATTTTTTGGCAAGGCTCATTCTTGATAACTTCTTCCTTTTTTTTTTCACTTAAGTAAAACCACCATCTTTCCTTGAGCTATTTGCTTATTCAAAACCAGTGTATTCAGGCCACTTGATATGATTCCCCTTGTCTCTAGAGAAATCTTAAAACTTTTTCAAGGAAGTGGTCAATTATTTACATAGACTTGAAAAGGCTTTGCTTCTCATCACTGAAAACACAAGGCTTTGAGAATTATCCCTTTGATTTGCTACATTGCAAAACTCATAAGTAGCTCTATATTTGAGCATTTAAATTGTCTGAAGCGTTTGAGGGAAATAATTGATTTCCTGGCTCTATATCCTTTTCGCTATCTCTTCCTTTTATGTAAGAACTGCATTAATAGATGACTTCCAAGAATATCATGAGAAAAAACAGTGAAAATACTTTAAGCAAAGCATATCTGTACTCAATTCTCTATCAACAATGAATAAATCTCTTGTCCACACCCATATGGAAACACTATGTTGAACTCAGCTGTAAAAGTTTACTGAGTTAGGTCAGTGGAAACTTGGCCAAGAGCAAACAAAACAATGAGGCCATAACTGGAGAATGTTCTGTTCTCTATTTCCTTTGTTTTGTTTTGTTTTTTATACAGAGTTTCACTCTGCTGCCCAGGCTGCAGTGCAGTAGTGCAATCTTGGCTCACTGCAGCCTCCGCCTCCTGGGTTCAAATGATTCTCCTGCCTCAGCCTCCCAAGTACGTGGGACTACCGGCACCCACCATCACGCCCAACTGATTTTTTTGTGTTTTAAATAGAGATGGGGTTGCACCATGTTGACCAGGCTGGTCTCAAACTCCTGGCCCCAGGCTGGTCTCAAACTCCTGACCTCAGGTGATCCACCCGCCTCGGCCTCCCAAAGTGCTGAGATTACAGGTGTGAGCCACCGCGCCTGGCCTCTCCAACTAGTATCAAAGCCATCAGAAAAGTTTTGATATCCATCATTCACCATAATGCAGCAAAACCTCACATTTTGAAGTTAGGCACACCTGGGTTTGAATGCCACTGAAGAGCTGAGTTACCTTAGACAACATATAACAACTATAAACCAAAAAGTATCTGAGACAAGTCAATCAATTTAGTAGTTTATTTTGCCAAGGTTGAGGACGCACCCAGGAGACATATCTGTGCTTTTCTTCAAAGATGATTTTGAGGGCTTCAATAATTTAAGGGGGAAAAGCAAACTGGAGGAGGAATAGGGAGTGTATGGTCACATGACTGAATCCACATATTGCAAAACAAAAGGATCAGGTAGTGGAATAATCAATTATGTACTTGTCTTGCACTCAGTGAATCCACACTTTACACAAGATAAGGTGAATATGTTACCAGTGGAGGGTGTCCAGAAGCAAAGAACTGGACAAAATGCACAAATAAAGCAAGGAAAGAATGAAGCATCAAAAGCAGAGGCTTACTGAAAATGAAAGTACACTCCGCAGTGTGGGAGCAGGCCTGAGCATAGGGGCTCAAGAGCCCCATTACAGAATATTCTGGGGTTTAAATGCCCTCTAGAGGTTACTTGGTTTACACCCTATGTAAATGAAGAGGATGAAGTAAAGTTACAAAGTCATTTACTCAGTGTACGCCCTATGTAAATGGAGAGAACATTTTCTGTCACAGCTGAAGCATTTCCATTGGATGGAAGTGCTTAGTTCTAGGAAGTCATTAGGTTCCCTGCATCCAGACTCTATTACCTTGTCTCAAACACAGAGTGAAGATATTTAAGCTTTTACCTGTAGCTATCTGCTTAGGAACAAAAGGAATGGCGGGCGCTTACATGAGTCGGTTTTCAGCTTAATTTTTTCTCTTGGCATAGTGAATTGAGGTCGCAAGTTTTTATTTTCCTTTCATACAATAGACCTATAGCCTCTGAGCCTCAGCTTTCTCATCTATATGTGTAACCTGACTTCTTCCAGACCTCACCAGCTGGAGATGTAGATGAAGTCAGCCAGAGTTTGAATGTCTGTGTCTCTCCAAATTCAATGTTGCAATTTAATCTCCAATGAAACAGTATTAGAAGGTAGGGCATTTGGGTGGTGATTAAGGCAGGAGGGCTCCACCTCAGCAGGATGGTACAAGCCTCGCTGGACATCAGATTTGCTGGCACTTTGATCTTGGACTTCCCAGTCTCCAGAACTGTGAGAAATCAATTTCTATTGATTATAAGTTACCCAATCTAGGTAACTTGTTTACCTAATCTAACTTATAACTTGTTTTGTTGAGACAGTGTCACTCTGTTGCCCAGGCTGGAGCACAGTGGTGCCATCTTGGCTCACTGCAGCCACCACCTCCTGGGTTCAAGCAATTCTCCTGCTTCAGCCTCCCAAGTAGCTGGGATTACAGGTGTGCACCACCAGGCCCAGCTAATTTTTTTTTTGTATTTTGACTAGAGATGGGGTTTCACCATGTTGGCCAGACTGGTCTCAAACTCCTGCCTTTGGAGAGGTGAGTGGGGGTTGTCAGCACAGCTGTAGAGCATAGATGACCTCTGAGGGGGTGATGGGAGAGACGAAGCTGGAGGGGTGAGTGGGGTTGGATTACACCAGGCTTTTGCTTGTTTGTTTGCTATGCAGGGAGTTCTGCATCTGACCTATCTGCCTCGGCCTCCCAAAGTGCTGGGATTACAGGCATGAGCCACCACACCCAGCCTAAGGTATTTTGTTATACCAGCAGGAATGGACTAAGATAAAGTCACACTAACAATCATGACACATACTTCCTTGGCAACTTTCCAGCCCAGCCTTTGCAGGATTTCTGCTTCCCTGTCAAGTTCATCACCCCTCAGTGCTTCTAGGGCTCTTACTCATGTGCTTACCAGCAGACAAGTTGGTTTCACTACCACCATCAAGGGCAGTGCCCTTATTCCACACTCCACAAGGGGATCAAATCTGTTACCCTGCTTCCCTGGGCTCAGAGCAAGTCCTGCTGCTGTTTCTCCAGTGAACGCAGGAGTGTCCACGAGGTTGAGGATGACCAGGCATCTGAAATCATTTTGGTTCTTGGAGTCACAAAACCTCTACTCTGATCTAAGTTTTTGGCTTACCCTATTGGCTGCAGTTTGTGCAAAAAATCTTGAGATACATGGGTTTCCAATTCCAGGGCACATAAGAATAAGGTGGTGAATTGTTAAAAATGCAGAACGGGCCCTACCCAGGACTCTGGATTGGATTTCTCATGTTGAGAGTCCGCAGGCTCCTCTCTGGTGTACTGATGATTTGGATAGCCAACGGTCTGTTGTCGGGACTATTAAGACAGACTCCCACTTCTTTTCTCTGTCTCTCCAGTCTCTTCCTTACAGTTTTGAGCTGACCTCTAGCCAGAATGACCTATTAGAAATGCAAATCTCTATCATTCTATTTCTCGCCATCCCCCAAAGCAGTCATTTTCCCTCTGTAATACTATACAACAAAAGCCCAACATATTAAACTGATGTCGTGGAGCTGTTCAGCTGAAGGGAACTCATGAGATGAGTTGATGGGGGGCAGGGAGCAGACCTCCCCCCAGCTACTCAGTCTTCCTGACCCTTTCCCATCCCCCTGCCAGCCTCAGCAGCAGCCCTGGGTAACCTGTATAGAATCAATGACCATGGAACACAGCCTGAAAAATCACATCTCCAGGAGACAAATGCACAACTCCCTGCATAGCAGACAAACAAGCAAAAGCCTGGTGTAATCCAACCCCACTCACCCCTCCAGCTTTGTCCTTTCCAACACCCCCTCAGAGGTCATCCATGCTCTACAGCTGTGCTGACAACCCCCAACACCCCTCCAGCTTCGTCTCTCCCATCACCCGCTCAGAGGTACTCTATGTTCTACAGCTGTGCTGATAATATGGCAGTCACTAGCCACATGTGGCTATTTAGATTCAAATTAATCATGATAAAACAAAAGATAACATTCAGTCCTGTTCTCAACTACACACATCTCAAGTGTTCAATAGCCACATGTGGCATGTGGTTAGTGGCAACGGTGATAGACAGCACAGACACAGAATAGTCCCATCGTCACAGGAAGTGCCACCGGACAGCAGCGCTCCAGTGACACCAAGTTAACCACAGCTGTCAAAGCACACATACTTTCTCACAGTCCAGGGCTTTCGCATTTGCTGTTCTATCTAGCGCGTTCTCTTCCCTGTTGTCTATGTGGCAAATTCAGACATTCTTCAAGACTGTCTCCAAGCTCCCCCTGCCAGGAGCCTTCCAGTCAGTCAATTTCCAATCTCCAGTCTCATTCAGAGACCATTTGAGCAGTGTTTCCTCTCTGATCTCTTTATACCTTTATATCTTTTCAGATATCAGATTTCACATGGTTTTACAACTGTTGGCTTGGCTGTGTATATTTTATATTAGATGTAAACAGAGACATTTTAACTCATCTTTATAGCCAAAGTAATCTATATCTATTAAATTAATGACTTCATTGGAGAATCATCAGTTGCTATATATATCTGAGTGAAAATGGCAATAATCATAGAAATGGTAGATGTGGTGGGCAGAATAATGCCATCTTCCCCATAAAGATGTCCGTATCTTAAACACCAGACTCTGTAAATATGTTACCTTAGCAAAAGGCACTTCACAGATGTTAAGTAAAGGACCTTGAGATGAAGAGATTATTATGAATTATTTAGGTGGGCCACATGTAATCACAATGTGATCCTTAAAAGTAGAAGAGAAAGGCAGAAAAGGAGAGCAGAGTAAAGCAGTGTGAGAGCGATTCACCCTGTAGTTTCTGGCTTTGAAGATGGAGGAAGAGGCCATGAGCCAAAGAATGTGGGCAGGCCCTAGAAGCCGGAAAGGCAGGGAAACTGATGGTCCCCTACGGCCTCCAGAAGGGAACACAGCCCTGCCTACCCTTGGATGTTAGCCCAGTGAGACTCTTTTCAGACTTCTAACCTCCAGAACTGTAAGATAATAAACTTATATTCTTTTAAGTAATGTAATAGAATACCAAAAGGAAAGTGATATGGTGGAGTTAGAAAGGAAAAGGTGTCAGCACAGAAAGAAATGTGTTTCACTGGAGAACTGCTCAGCCCTGGGATCTCAGAGTCCAGTGGAGGAGGAGGCCACACTGCAGCAGGGCAGGAACATTACTGGTGGCCCCAAGGCACAGAGGATGTGTCCTGGGCTCTTGCTTTAGTTTGAGGAGCTCTGTCAGGTGTGAGGAGAGCTTCCCTGTGCCCCTGGAGCTGGTGATTTGGGTACAGGTAGGAAGATAAGTTTTCTGTATAAATCTAATTGTGCTAACACCTAGTTTAAACTTTACCCTTTTGAGAGCACAGAAAATGACCGAACACCTCCACAAGTATCTAGCCCATTGTATGACTTAAGCAAATATTTATAGTATGACATTAAAAAGACACTATATAGCTTCACAAACACAGTGGAAATTTTGTTTTGTATAGTGTAAACAGAGTAAGTTGCATTATAACTATAATATATCCTCATATGCAATGAAAAAATTTTTGTTGAGATAAACTATAAATATTTACTATCAAGTTCCAAATCAGGGTTTCAGTATGAATTGGGCAATTTTCAGTCATCTAATTTTTTTGGAAAAAGCATTTCTTTAACAAATATCTTTTACTCCCAGAACCATTCAAACCCCTTTGGATGCAGCGGTGAAAAACCTGGTCACATTCCAGCAATGAGGACAGAGATAGAAAGAAGTGAACTCAACAAAGTGCCAGCATCATCATGATAAGAGCTCCGAGGTTATGGCAGTCATCGTGGCCACCCCCACCCTTGGGGAAAGGTAATGGTTAAACTATGTCTTAAGGACAAGTTGATGTCTGCCAGGTGAAAAAGGTGGAGTAAGGGTGGCTCCACAAATATAAATGGGGAAGGTGTCATTACCAGCAGATGTCAGCTTCAGCCATGATCCTGGGTCCTGGCTGACTCAGGAAACTGCAGTTATTCTACACTGCAGGCTGAGTGTAAGTGGAGCCAATGAATTCTAGGAAGACCTCCCTGAAGAAGTGATGCTCTGAGCTGAGATCTGAAGGAAGAATAACAGTTAACCAGGCGAGAAGAGTGGGGAATCATACCAGGCAGATGGAACAGCACATGCAAATGGTTCTGGCGCAGGATGAAAAAGGAAAGAAGGAATGATTGGTGTCCTCTCCTAGACCAGGTCAACCTCCAGGAAAGAAGGTCAAGGTCTTCACCTTCTTCACACTCCATCACCACTTCACCACTCTTCACAGCATCAGTATCGATACTAGGTGGCAAATATTCCTACATTAAGACTTTTTCCAAAGTTTGAGTGTTTTTCAACTTTCATTTAACATTTTTTCATTCACAGTTCTCAAATTTTAAATTTCAGATTTGCATGCATAAACTATCAGTGGCCCAAGGATCATAAGATCTACGTTCTAATTACTATGTGATCTTGGTTAATCACTTAACTTCTCTGGGCTTCAGTTTGTTCATTTATAAGATTAGGAGGTTAGACCATAAGACTTCTACAGAAGCCCTAAGAATTCTATAATTTGCCTGTAATCCCAGCTGTTTGGGAGGCTGAGGCGGGTGGATCATGAGGTCAAGAGATCGAGACCATCCTGGCCAACATGGTGAAACCCCGTCTCTACTAAAAATACAAAAATTAGCTGGGCGTAGTGGCATGCACCTGTAGTCCCAGCTACTTGGGAGGCTGAGGCAGGAGAATTGCTTGAACCTGGGAGGCGGAGGTTGCAGTGAGCCGAGATCGCGCCACTGCACTCCAGCCTAGCACCTGGCAACAGAACAAGACTCTGTCTCAAAAAAAGGAGAATTCTATAATTTTGTGGTTTTAGGGATTGAAGGCTTGAAGGGGTCTTGGCATGGTATAATTTAAAAAATAGAGCAAATTATGACATGGCTTATATCCCAGCCCTGTACTGTATAGCTGTGTGACTTTGGGCAAATACTGAATATCTTTTCTGATCCATAACTTCCAAATATAATAATATCTACCCTGAAGAGTTACAAGAAACACATATTTATATATATGAGAAACCCATATATACAGAAGCTATGTTTATTGTAACAGAAGTGCACTATTGTAACAAACCTGCACATTCTGCAGTTCTCCAGAACTTAAAGTATAATAATAAAAAAGAGAATAAAGCCACAAAAAGAAAAGGCAATAAAAATAAGTATTCATTAAATCAATAATATTGAATATTAATATATGTAACAATATACGTATATGTGCATATATCTTTAAAAAGTACACTATTTTAATACTCTGATAAATTTTATAACTTTTTAAAAAATGTGAAACAATATATAATAGTATCAAGAAAAATTCATCTTTGTCAGAGTTTTTCCAAGGAGAGTAACAATTTATCTTCCACAGATGTGGGGTGTTATTATTACCAACTGAGACACACTTAGATAGAAAATTATATTTACTAGCATCTGACCTTCTGCTGAAAAGGGCATTGAACTGGAGAACTTGAGAGGCCTTTTTCTCATCAAATAAGATATTGAAGAACAGAAAAGAATTAGTATCAATAGGGAACTAACATCTACAACCTAACAATTTTTGTTCGTTTCAGCTTCCATTCTAAGAGGCATTGTTACTAAGATTTAAGGAACAAAATGTAGGAAGTGAGCCCATGAAGATGGCAGGCTGTGAGAATGCTCACCGGGGAATTTACTATTAGGTTATTTCAGTGCAGCTTTAGAAAAACTAAGTAAGAGAAATAATTTTCACCTATATTTTACCTACATAGGCCCTAGTCCTGAGATCCCATTCATGTTCTTTTCTTTTCTTTTCTTTTCCTTTCCTTTCTTTTCTTTTCTATTCTATTCTTTTCTGACGTAGCCTTTCTTTGTCACCCAGGCTGGAATGCAATGGTGTGATCTTGGCTCACTGCAACCTCCATCTCCCGAGTTCAAGGGATTCTCATGCCTCAGCCTCCCGAGTAGCTGGGACAATAGGCACAGGCCACTATACCCAGCTAATTTTTGTATTTTTAGTAGAGATGGAGTTTCACCATGTTGGCCAGTCCAGGCTCAGAGTACTGACCTCAAGTGATCTGCCCACCTAGGCCTCCTAAAGTGCCAGGATTACAGGCATGAGCCACCACACCTGGCCTTATCCTTCTCTTTTTAAATAACTATGGCAGAAACAGGGCTATGTGCTTCAATAGTGATAGATAAAATTAGACTTTTGAAGCTACATTCTTCATTAGATACAAAAAAATGATTTCAATGATTCAAGTTTTGAAATCTCCCAAAACTTGCATTGCTTTACTAAACGCTTAAAACATCATATTATTTATTCCATTTCTTCCATTTATGGCCAAATGACATATTGCCTATGTAGAAAAATACCTCCCAGTGCAGAACACCTATATTAAAATTACATTTCAAAAACACTTTTAAATGCAGGGCTGACATTATGGAGCAGTAAGGCACGTCCTTAGAGGTCCTGAAGAACAGCATTAAAGTGGTATTTATGCTGAGGGCATCGCTTAATCCTGGTGGCCCAGGGCATGTAGTCTAGGATTCAAATCAGTCAGACTAACGCCCCCTGCACAAAACATAAAGAGAGAATAACCAGGGACACGGAAACCCATTCTGTAGAGATAGATGCTAACACCAGTTGGCAATTATAAACTCGGAGCAGGAAGAAAAAGGAAAGAGGAAAAGTAAAAAGGTAAGAGAAGAAGGAACAAAAGGAGGGAGGAACGGAGGGAGGAAGAGCTAAAGAATACAGTCATTTGTGACACTTGTTCAAGATGGTAAGGCCGAGTTCATTCAGGGGAACCATGGTCACAGGTATAGGGAGCACTGTGACAGGGTCTTCCAGTTGGGGAGAGATTAGGTTTAACTCCTATTCCAACAAGAATAAGTGGAGATTTTTAACCAAGGAGCAGAGTGGGGATCAGTGAATAGAAATTACTCAGAGGAAACATCAAGAATAAGGGTTTCCAGCTAGGCTGATCTAATAGGATTATTGCTGAAGGCAGGCCAGAGGGATCAGATACGGAGGAGGCTCAGACAGTAAAGGTAGGGGATTTTCTGCAGCTGAGTTGACTTAGCAGGATCCTTGCTCACACTGAATTCTACAAGGACAGGGAGGGAAGCCCAAGGTTGGGCCTAGTAAGAAAGTGCTCAGGAGCCTGACTAAAGTCTTGGTCAAAGGAGAGAGTCTTTGTTGGAAGGAGGGGAGGGAGGGAGGAAAGGAAGGAAGGAAGGAAAGAAGGATGGAAGGGAGGGAGGGAGGGAAAAGGAGGGAGGTTAAGGATTTAGGGAAAGAACGAGAGAGAGAAGAAAGGGAGAGAAAAAGACGAAAAG